GGTGGCTAATTTAATGCGCAAAGTTTAATAGATTTCAAAATTTAAACTCTCCAAATTCTATAACTTCCGACGCTCTCTTTAAGACTCCGCATGTGCTGCGCATCTAGAAACTCCTAGAATTCAATTTAAAATAATCTGTTTCGATACTTTTCTAGTCGATCTATCCTATACACTCCCCACAGATTTCTCCCCATAGTTCATATAGCTGGGAGAACTACACGATTTGAACCATTGTATCGCAATTACTTTTGAAACCGGTCAAATTCGGAACCCTGCGCACTGCGCAACACGATTCCTTTGAGCGCAATCTTCCTTTGCTGTGAGCCCCGTCAGTATGTGATTATTCACCCCCATTCATGGAAAATTTTTGCCACCGAGATATGTGAATGTTTGACGTCGTGTCAATTTCTTCCCCTAGCGTAGTAAACTATTTTCTTTGCTAACCCAGATGAATTACCATTTTTGAAAGACTACAACTTCGGTTTTTTGAATGTTTATTTTAGGTCCCCCATTCTCACTATACCGTTCTAGAATATTTAAACTCTTCTCGTTAAGCCCTCATCGTCTCCGTAACATAAGACTAAATCATCAGCATATATGTAGTCCGGGAATTTTCAGCCATCAATTAACCGGAGCCCGCTGTATCCGCTTTCCTGTACCCACGTCAATAATATCGTTAAGATAAACAGAGATAAACAGCAGCGGTGAAAGAGGACAGCCCCTGTCTTACTCCCTATTGTCGATTTATTTTTGTCGTTACTTCCGTCAACGGCACCTCACTGCAGAAATTTAAACTTCCTTATACATTACTCTGCAATACGTTAAAAACTTTACGTGAGACGCCTAGCTCGATTTAGTTTTCGCCATGAAAAGGCATCCCTAAATTAATAGAGTCCAAAAGACCTTTCGAAATCTAACAAAATCTGCAAGTATATAGTGGCCCCGTTTACCGCGCCTAGCGCCTGTTTTCTAGGTGATCTAACACAAATAATTGTCGTTGCGCTAGCCTCTCCTAAAGCTGCTTGCAATTCTGATATTTTACGTACTTTCGCCCATGTCAACTCAGTCGCTTCTCTGTTGATGTATTTACAGTAACAGTTTTTGCTTAAGTCGCTGGCAAAGACTAAATTCCGCGACTATTTTATTTTGGTGGCAATTTCGCATCCCCTTTATTTTTAAAAATCGTTGGAAAGATAGCTGTACTCCACGTTTTCTGGATTATCGAGCCTGGAATCAGGCAATTGTCATTAAATAACTTCATAATATATTCTTTCTTGGTGTCTATTTTGTGCCACAATTCCGATAAATGAATTTTTGTTGGGAATTGCCCGTCCGCGCCACCTGCCTTCTTAGTTCTAATTCATTGTAGAATAGCCCTATTTACTTCAGTCCAGGTGTAGAGGTTTCGTCTAATTCAAGGCACACGTCTGGTCAGTGAGTAATACCTTGCCCCTGTTTCAATGGTCTCTCTTTTCTGTGAACGTCTCGAAGAATAAATATTGCTATCTCCACTGCGTCTGCTGGAATATTTCATTTACTTTGATATTTTAATTTAATTTGCGCAAAGATCTGATAACGGTTCCCCAAATTTTGATTTTAACTAATAACGTTTTTCTTAGTATTGTCCTGTATTCTTTCCTGGCTCACTATCTCTCCAAGTATTTCTTCGATTTCTATGTCGCCTCGTAACTGGCCTACGTAATTAACAAAAACACTGTTCTAGCTTCTCGTTCCACTGTTTTCTGGAAAATTCCTTAGGCTATTTATAGTTCGGCGCCTGGTCCTCTCCGACACTCCTCGCTAAACCACCATCTTGGGTCCGTTCCTCTCCTCCCCCCCACTTTCGCATACCCTTTCCCTCGCGGTAAGAGCCGCTTTTCTAGGTTCATTGGTTTGCGGTTGTGCTGCGCGGAAGCCATTCCTCTCGGCGTCCCTGCCGAGTTTAAGAATATCTGTACAAATTCTTCGGGCTTTTCTCTTCCATACAAACTTCGTTTTCTTTCTATCGTCAAGTTTCGTTTGCTCCTGCCGCTCCCCTGCCGATGGCAGTGCAAGAAGCATTTCCTGCTAAGTGCACGCACACAGGCAAATGATCTAGATTCTGCCCGCGTAATTCGATCCAAAATCTGAATAAATTGTTATTCTTTCCTGCGACAGTACAGAGCGTAAATCTATTAAACTAACCTCCATTCCCATTAATAAAAGTTAGTTCCCTTCCGTCATCCTGTCATAGCTGCCCATTTAAGATTATAGATAAATCTTCGCAAATAATCTAGCAATCCTGCCCATATTATTGATGACGCGGAGTCTTGCTTTTCTGGAATCGCTCTAGCTTCTTGCGCGAAGGTCCGGAAAAAAACTCTGTCATCTGCCAATTCGAGCATTCATGTCCCTAAACACTAGTTAAATTAGTACTTGGTTACCCTCAGCTGTAACATATCTAGGAAATCATTGATTTCGCCGAAGGATTTGCCGGAGTATAATATGACGCGAATCCTGTGGGTGACGTAGATAAACACCATTTGCAAATATTCTATGATTTTGCATTACTAGTCTAATCCAAAGGAAATTGTCTGAGTTGGTCTTCAATTTCATTAATATACTGCATTAAGCCTAGTCCCGAAAATGCCACGCAACAGCCACCCGGTACCGACCCCTTCCTCCTCTACGTTTTTTTATTTTTCCATATGGCTGTAAAAACCAAGACACCAGGATAACGTTTCACCTCCATTCCACCAAGTTTAACCAAGACCAATTACATCAAACGTTATTAATGTAGCCATAGGGATAGTCTTGATTACCTGCTAGAGCTAGACTCTTTGATGTCCAACACCTATTCGTTAAAACCTATTCTTGCCTATTTGGTGCAATGTTGGGCCACCGACTCACACGCGAGCTCCTGCTGCTGCGCGTTGGCTGCCATCGGCCCTCGTACGCGGTACTCGGCTCCGCGCTTTCGGGCGCGACCCGCCCCGCCACTCAACGATGCCGCGAGCTCCGCCGGATCTCGAGCGCGACCGCCGGCGCGAACGTGAACCGCGATTGCCTCCGCTCGATGCTGTGGGTCAGAGGTCGTCGCGGCGTCCGCCGACGAGGCGCAAGCTGCCGGTGCGTCGCCTGCCGCCCGGCACGGGCGCGCGCGGGGCGGCCGCGAGCAGGGCCCGATTCTCGAGGGGTGTCCGCGCCTCCTGGGGTTCTGCCCCCCGCGGAGTTCACGGGGCCTCGCGCCTCACCCACTCCCAGCCCGCAGACGGGCCGGCCACTCGCTCAGGCGAAGCTGCGCCCTGCCACGACAAGCTTGTCGAAACGAATAGACGCTTCCTCCGCTCGCTTCGCCTTCCTGCAAATGGAATCAACGCCTACGCGTTGTCGCACTGCCCAGTCTCAATTCCTCTGGACGGGCACCATGCCATTCTGGGAGAGATGCTCCCGGCCTGCGCGCAGCATCTCCCCGCTTTCCTGAATAGGCCAGCTTTGGCCCACAATAATGCCGCGCTGTCCCTCACGGTTTTGATTCACGTCTTGCGGGCCGTTCCGGTGGCTCGCCGCGTGATATCTTGAAGCTCCAGCTGACACCTAGCTGCTCAGCTAAACCCAGAATACAATCTTATCCGAATCCGCCTGCCTCGTTCCTCTGCTCTGGGATGCCAACGTAACAAATGATATTTGTTTACGACGCGATTGGTTTGTCAAGGTAATCCACCTTGCGCACCAACCGCTCGTTGGCTGTTCTGCAGCGATCTGCACTGGCGCCTCTGCCGACGTCACCTAGCCTGTAATGAATCGACGCCCTATCAATACATCTCCTATGGTTACGATTCAAGATGTCGATGATCTCGCGTTAGTGGGGGGGCCGGATTCAGCTCCACCCACCGATCGCCAAAACACGCCATTCACAGCCGCGCCCAGCACGCTCGCAAGTAGCCCCAGCCCCTGCGCTGTCCCCCGGGCACCGCCCACTGCGCGCAGTAGCCCCTCACCCAGCGGCGATAGCCGCCCGCCACTGT